AGACTAGTATTTATTATATATATATATATATATATATATATGTGTGTGTGTGTATATATTATTGCTATTTAGAAATAAGTTTTTTAAATTTACTTTTCTTAAAACATAGAACATTAACTAACGAAGTAAAGCAAACAGTTATCTCTTCTAGTTATGACCTTTGTACTCAGTTGCTGCTTGACATAGGATGCTAAGCCTTTTAAAATTTTGCCCATGGAGGATATGAAACAGATTAATTTTTTTAGGTTTACACACACGCACGCACGCACACAGAGAGACAGACAGACAGACAGAGTTGAATATACAAAAAATCAGAAATTACTATATCGCTACCATAGAATTCCACTATAATTTAACTAAGCTGTATTATGGTCTAAAAAAATCTGTAATTTCGAGCAGACTAAAAACACAACCTACCTCCTTAATCTTGGTTTGAAAGAATGAAATGGCATTCAAACACGTTAAAATGGCTGAGAAAGCCACTAGGGTGACATTCTGAGCTTTTGATTGGTTATTCACATATCATATATTGAAATAAGTGTATATAAGGAACCGTTTCCAAAAATGGAAAGAGATGAGTGGGGCCAACAAGTGATATCTTGGTAAATAGAAAAGAGGCTCTTATTTTATATTCTAATTTGTCAATATTGGTAATTTGAGTTCCTAATTCATACAAAACACCACAAACATCTGATTTGAACCAGTGCTGCATTCAACATATCACGTGACACACAAGAATTGATGTTTAATTGTTTTTTGTTTTTTCTATATTTACTTTTAAAATAAGAAATTAAATAATGTATAATACTAAAATTTGAATTATAATATACAGTTTGATACCAAACTTAATGACATAACTTTATGAAATAGTAGTTCAATAATATTTTGAATGCAAATCAACAAATGCAATGACATGGCCTTTGACCTGTGACCCATCTGGAGAGGGATAAGAATGAAAAATCAAAAATTACATTATTTTTTTGGTAAGCAGTTCCCATCATCTGGGGCTTGTCAATACTGTGTTATTAGCTTATATTAAACTCCAGGCATTAATGGGTAAATTTATTCTTAAAAACAAGGCTAGGGGTACAAGGAGAGGGGGGTAGGTAAACAGTGAATAAGGGAATACTTAAGACAAATAATTATTCTAATAGTACATGTTGATTGGTCCATCATCTCTGTTTATACACATAGATCTATTTTAATTATACACATAATTTCTCTTAAATTCCCTTTTGTTTGCTTGTGTGTAGTTCTTAAGATTTTTTTGTTTTTCAAACATAATTACCATTACAGTACCAGAAATGTTGAACTACAATTGAAGATTTTGTTACAATATTTTTTCATAATGATACTCTTTCAGTCAAGTTTTTAATTTCCTTAGTTTTTCTGTTTTTATCTCTGGAGGTACATGGTACGTTCATGTAACATAGATAGGTTTTCTGTTTTGATCTCCTTGTACTTGGGATATAACCTGTCCATAATTTATCTTGTAATATAATCTATGCTTGCATTTCAGGTGTCTTGACACAAGAACATGCAGTTACATGCATGAGTTCAAGGTCAGTCTTGGTCCTGCAGGTGTTATTCGAACAATGGCAGTCAGTCCAAATGGAAATTGGTTGGCTGTTGGTCATTCATCAGGTGTTCTCTCTGTCCTAGATGTTCGGACGGGGATGTTATTTGGATCCTGGGTTGCACATGAGAATGAGGTCCTTCAGGTAAAGACATTATTGTAAGAAGATTTCCATTAATTGAGAAAATGAAACTGTATAGCCATTGTATTCCATTATGTCTGTCTGTGGTTATTCCATCGCTGCAAAAGCTACAACTTAATATGTGGTATTAAAATAAAATATGAAATATACCTTTCTGATATCATAAATCTGATTTCACTTAACATTCCAAGATAAAACTTGTAAGTTTGTAGATGTTTGATATAATTGCCATTTGAATTCATCCATGGCCTATTTTTTTTTCCAATCATATAAGAAGGAAACCATAGACTGACTGTTTTTTGCATACTCTTGAATGTATATGTACATGTAGCCTGCATCAGTAGAATTTGAATAGATGTCTTTGGTTTTTCTTAAACCCATAATTACACCTGGAGTATAGTTATGATATTTAAAGGCTTTACAAATTCAGAAAGTTAGTGAATGATTTGGCACAGTTTAATAAAAGCCCTACTTACTTTTGAGTGAACAACAGGAAACACTAGGGGAACTGGTTTTGGCCTGAAAAAAAATCCTAAAACTTGTGCAATTATATGGTGAGTATAAAATAGGTGAACTTATGAGTTATGATAAAAACTGTTTGACAGTTTAGCAGTTTTATGAAAGAAATAAAACAGTTTTCTATTATTACTTAGTGTTCAAAGGATGAATAATTCAATCATATATGAAAATGAGAGAGACTGAATAATTACAAGAAACTGATACTATATGTTTGTAAAGGTTACTAATAAGTGAGTGGATACATTCACTGTTTTATGAGGTTTTGATAATGGTCGTGGGTCAGCAGTTTGTGGTTTAACTATTAATTGATTAATAGATAAGTAAGATATGAATATAACTAAGTTATTGATACCGTAGTGAATATGGCTATCTGTTATATTTATATATTTCATCCTTGTTCTACTCTAAAACATGTGCCTGCCATGCTTTTCAACTTTAATAATCCATTAACTTTATGTATGATGGAGAAAGAAGATATTTGTCTTTTAAGAATTGTGGAAGATTCCTTTATTAAACATTGGTATTCAACTTTAACTTAGTTATACGAGTCCACTTTGTGTTGCAACAGGGAACAATGTGGGGAAATTACATTATTTGCTCTGTTCTTATATTGCTAGAATGTTGTTTTAGTTTAATTTTCAAAAGGATTTATTAAAAGCTGTGATCAGTGAAAGTTTTTCAGAATACATATGTAAATTTTATCAGAGTAATGAATTTGTACAGTAAGCAGACTCCATTCTTCCCATGGTAAATATCTCTGTTTTTTATTTTTTTGGATATAAATGCCTAATCAAACTATTTTTTCCTCATGTTATCTATTTAACTACTTTATAGTTAGAAATTAGGTTTAGTTTCTTTTTGAATTCATAATTCACTACTGAGTTTAGTGGTAATGGATATGAACTGAAACTAAAAGTTAACATACAACATTATCATGGCATGAAAACATAATGATAAAGTTCACTAGGTAAAACAATTGTGTATCTTTTGTATTATACCAAAAATATCAAAGAAAAATATAATATTCTTTGAAAGTGGAACTGTTCTTATAATATGATTATTTTGTACCAAAGATATTTGATAATTAAATTACAAGGCTTCTATTTTGATTCCAACTGACTGAAAAGTTTTAACTTTCATTGACTTCAGGTGAAAGCATTCAACAGTAAGTATTTTGTCTCTTCTTCTTTGGATCATTCACTGACTGTGTGGAGTGCAGAGGACACAAAGACAAAATGTTATCTCAGAGGTGAGTGTATTGATTTTTTTGTGTGTGAGATTCACAATACATTAAATATGTCTTAATTCTAACTTTAAAAGATACATCTACTCAATTAAAAAATTACCTATATTACAAGTAGCCAGTAAAACCTACTAAAATCTGTACCAGTTGAGAAGGAATTAAATTTTCAACCTTTTTATCTTATTAAATTTAATGACATTTGCAACTGTTATTCCTCTTCACTATCAGCAATTCTGTTCAAATAGGTTTTTAAAATGGATAATTCAGGAAGATAGTATGGAGAATTATAAGGTGTATCTTGGGCTTTGAGGTATCTGCACAGATCTGTTTCCATGTGCTTTAATTGCAACTTGGTGTTACTATTGTTAGTGTTGTCCTTTGTGCTGCATTTCTCTCAGCCTGATTTTCATAACTGTAATCATCTATATTCATTATAGATTTGAAAGTGCTACTTATACACTTTTGTTCCTTATTGCTTTTCTTTTTTCTCTCTCTCTATCTCTCACTCTCTCTACTTACACTGACATATAATCTTTTTTGTGTAACACTTGTAATGTTCTGAACTTATTTTTAAAGTATTTTAACAACATAAGTTACTGAACACTCAAATTTACAAGACTTGTAGTTTTTTATACTATTTGTTTCAGTTAGAAACAATAACCTTGAGTTGTTAAACACAAAAAATATTCTGTAATATAATGTTCATCTGCTATAAGTTAGCAGCTAGAGAGAGTCCTGAGGCTTGACATATGGATGAGTGATACGTTTGAAGTATTATGATTACAAGGTATTAGTTTTGTTAAATTTGAACATTTTTGGACTTTAATTCAAAACTTTTAATGCTATGTAAAAAATTTGAAACCAATAAAAACACTTTATTCATAAATATTTATTGAAGATAATCATATAACCACCATACTTAAAAATATGATCCTCAAAAAAGTCTAACGTGTGATGTTTTTTTTTCTGACCAGGTTACTTTGAAATGATACAAGAATAGTTTGTTTCATACTTTCATTAAAGTGTGAAAGTTTCTATTTGAGTAATTTTTCTCTCATTTTAATGAATTGCTATATTTGTTGAGTATTTTGTTTTAGAGATGGTGATAGTGATTAATTAATGTATGATAGTCTTAAATTAGTAATAAATCATTCCCAATCCAAAATGAAAATTGTGTTAAAAACAATAAATCCTTAATGACACAACATTTGCACTTGCTAGCCAGTAACTAACTTAACCATAATATTTATATGCTTCAGAAAAAAAAATTAACAAATTTTTGTATGATGTTTTTCTAGACTTCGTTTTAGTTAGAATATAAAAATTAATTGTATTCAAAATTTTAATGTTATCAGTTGCAAAATAGGTAATAATTATTTAAATAATTGAAGATTAAAGGTTTTGAAATAAAATGTCAGAGCTATTTTCTCGAGTATAGTAACTTCTGAAAGAAAATATGAGAAAATGTTTTTAGTCCAGGAAATGTTAACAGTATATCACAAACTGTATTCAGCACTATATCAGGTAAAGAAGAAAGTCATTGCTATAATCCAGAGGGGGTAAAAAGCATTGAATCCAAAAATAAATAAGTTGAAGCCTAAAGAGGGTGATGTGTTCAAGATAATTGAACTAAATAAATTATGAAAATAGCATCCTAAAAGGACCACATATGAAAAATATTGATTTTTTCTTTTTTTTTTTAACAAGAGAACAAAATGAATTCTTTTGGTAGAAACTTCACCACCTTGTCTCAATGTTCATATTAAGGATTAAGAGGGAAATGCTATAAATTGTCATGTTTCTGTACATTTGTTGTTTTCAATATTTTCTGTAATTTCAGTTATGCAGTTGTAGAGCAGGAGAATGTCTGTATGTTTTGATAATTTTAATGAGATATCAAAATTGTGTGGCACATTATTTATTCTAATAACATGTGTTGAATTTTGCCATTCAAGAACAATAAACTAACTGAAAAGTAGCCACTGAAGCTACTTGACTGGCAATAGTTGAAGAGTATAGTTTTAATTTTCATTCTTTGTAGATGCATTGTGTGTACTTGTAGAAGTATAGAATATGCAAAAAAAAGGGACGGGATGTTTTTAACTTTGGAAAAGTAACCTTTCTACACCTTACATTGTTTCATCATCGTTATACTAAATTTGTAGAAATGATTGTAATAAATAATGTAAGCTCTTTCTTTTGTGTAAAATCATTCTTCAGGTGTTTGATTAAAAATTTTTAGTGATGAAAATAGGTTAAATGTGCACAACCTGTGTTAACTTAGTTTGAAAAGTTTGCTGTTGTAAAAACCAGAAGAGGCCTGGAGCTTTAGGAAATAGCATGGTCAAATTACATAGATTGTATGCGACCTCTCGTACCACACCTTGCTTATTGGAAATACAGCTTGATGGCTGCAGAAAAGATTCTCTAGGACAAAAGGGGTGTAGTTGCTACTGATATATCTACACTGAAACTGTAACTCCATATCATTTTGACAATTCAGTTAACACATCAACTTTTCCTCAACCACAGGCAGAGTGTTATTTTTGGGTGGCAGTCCAAAGAATAAGAAATTCCAGTAACTTTTTTCGGGTTTTCCATACACTGTTGGAAAGTCTGGAATCTGTTATATCCAAATATGTAATCCATAATATGATGATAATTTATTCAGTTTGAAGTTATGAACAGTCAAAGAAAGAGACATAGGAATTTAGAGTGACTGCATCACCTTATCAGCAGATATGTGTAGATTTATTTATATATACACACGCGCGCGTACACACACACACACACACACACACACACCACACACACACACACACACAGATATATATATATATATATATATATAGTTACCTCCTTTTTTGATTATGAAATAAAATTATGCAACCTGTATTAATTGTCAGTGTGAGGTTGGAGACTTCTTGATCGGCTAGTCTGGTGGAAGTCTACTACTATGATCACTACTGTCCTTGTCAGTACCAAACGTATTTTTGAGTGCCACTACAGCATATTTGGGTTTGATAGATGGATTTACCTTGACAAAAGCTGTCAAAAAGTCCTTCATGATTGCATCCACAGTGACTGCACAGATTGCAAGCTTAACATCTTCGAACCTTGTAAATACAGGTAATCGAGGGAATAATGGTGATTGATAATGACATGCTGAAGAACAGCAAAGTTCCAGTCATGATCAGTGGGCTTGGAGTTATCTGCTAAAAATCTGTTGGTCTCTGGTGATGCATCAGTGGGAAAGGAAGAAAGCTCAATAAGACCCATCAGTTACACAAGAAGAAGTACAATAATTAACTGTGGGGTTTCTATGATGATATAGCCAGTCATAACTCTGTCAATGTTTGTTTCAATTTGGAAACTGTAAGTTGTGATCGCATGTCATATGCTACATCCTGTGTAAATTTCACCAAAATCAGGTGAATCCTTTATATTTTACACCCGATCACTACCATTAAAATGCCTCTGGTTGAGGCAGAAATTGTAAGTGAAAACTTTCTTCAAGGAACTTGGAGATGTATGTTCTTTGTAAGAAACATTTTTGTTAGACAATCAAAATCTTAAAAGTATTGTAATCACAAATCTTCCTCTCGGAGAGTGTGTTTAACTAAATAATTTGAATAATTTTTATCACAGTTTTCTTCTATCTCTCTCTTTTTCACTAACATATGTACCTTTGTAAAAAGCAGAGCCACAAATATAGTATCTGATCTTGCAAACTGTCTTCAAAATCCAATGTGTTGGACATACTTTTGAATGTTTTTTTGTTTGTTTTTCCCCACTCTCAAGGAGTATGTTACAAATTGTGTTGTATCAAACCAAGTGAACAATCTTTATAATAAAGATCAAAATTTCTTTATGTCAGTCTATTAATATATTTCTAACATTGTTAAATAAATGATTCTTCACCTTCTAGTATTTCTTCTAAAAGTGATTTAAAAAAAAAAAAGAACCTAATCAGGATTGAAACAGTAAATAATCAAAATAGTTCAAAAGGAAAGGATTAGATAACACAGTATATTTTACTTTACCAACTAAATGACAAAATGTTTTGGCCCAAAAGTCAGTGTTATTTATTAGTTTAGAGATAAACTAAATACTACAAAAAGCTTTATAACTGTGTTGTGTCATTTGATGCATTAAAATGTATATAGTGTGTTTAAACAAGTTTGAATTTATGTATAGGATCTTCAGAACCTGTGACCTGCCTGAACTTCTACAAAAGTGAAGTAATCACTGGAACAACAGCAAACAGAGTTGGAATATACTCTTCCTTAAACAGTCAAGTATGTTTCTCTCCTCTATTTGGAAATTGTAAACTCTTGTGAATAAAACAATTTCTAATAAATGGTCTACCAGACTTTGTAACTAAAAAGATTATTCAGACTGTGTTTTGTTTATGTCTAGTTTTAATAGAATTGCAGATTTATGAAAGAAATTTTACATTCTTTAATTATTAGGAAGTTACAGTTTATGTGATGACTATATGTAATTTACATGTTGATATCAGTTATTATGGTTTATATAATACTGATCTAACAAAAACATCTGTCTTGTGTAGCTCTTTTTTTTTCTCATTTCTTATGTCTCACTTACCTTTAGTTCATAGTTTTCAGTATGTGAGGTGGTTCATGTGGATGGAGTATTATCCCAGCTTTGTTTTGATACCTTAATAGCAATACCTGTTGGACATAATCTTTGTTATAAATATTTTATTTTAGTGGATGTAAAAAATAGTGTATATAAAATTGTCTGACCCTTTCCATATTTGTTATTCAGCTTTTCACATTTGCAAGTTAATAAATGAAGATTGTACTAAATATAATAATTATATTTATTTGGCTATTGTAATACAGATTCATGTTGCTGTTAAGCAAGTAGAGAAGAGTGGGAAGTATGTATAATAATCAATACACATCAATGTGTTCATGAAGATATTTATGACAATTTGATTTTGGTAAAGGTAACTAAATTATACTGGTGAACTAATGTATATATTAATGTAGAAAGTGATTTTGGTTAAATGTGTAATTCTGTAGAATTATCTTTTTCAGGCTTCTCTCTCTTCAACAAGACTTCGATCCGATACTTTTAAAGGGGTTCTGACAGCAATGGCCGTCCTTCCGCTCAACCGTCTGCTTTTATTGGGGGCAGATAATGGATTAGTATCTCTCTTTTGTTAATAATTGATTTTTATCATGTGAATCGTCAAACTTCTGATTTTGAACTGGTAGAGGTTTTGTTGACATAATCCAAAGGTCATAATATCTGTGTATGTTCTCTGTTTACTATGTATTCATTGAGAACTCATTTGGTAACACAATACAACTACATAACTTCTTTTTTCTTGTATCTTTTGTTTTGTGCTAGAGGTATAAACCATGTAAAGTATAACGGTGATATTCTAGAAAAAATAAGTGGTTTTAAAAAGAGGTGCCACTTTATTTGAAAGATGTGTTTGGAAATCTTCATCAAGGAGCTGTATATCTGTGTTTAGCAATTGGATAGAGTAATGAAAACAAACCAAAATACCAAGCTATCTGATTTACACTTTAAAATTTTCTGATTGTTATGAGATTATGTATATATATGCGAGAAGGTTTTTTGTATAATTATCCTGGTTTTGTAAAACAGTTATTTATTGATATTCTTCAATACTGGTTTGATGTTAGCAGTTTGGTGATTTTTTTTCAGTAGTATCTATATGGACTAGTCTTTCATCCCAACCAGTCGGGTGATATATAAATATTTAGGGTCTGGCATCATAAATCAAATTATTTTTCTGTTAAACAATTAACTATCAAAAAGTACATGCCACCACCTTTTTATTATTATTACTTCAAATTATAAACTATAGTGATGAAAAGTAATAATGAAATTTTTTAGATATATTGTTCTGAATTGTTGCCTAAAATATTGATGGACAGATTAGGAGAATTTCTTATAAGTAAGAAATGACACTGTCATAAACATGGCAGTGTTTTATAAAAATCTATGAACCTAAGTCAACTTCTTGATTGTTTTCTAATTTGTTAGTTATATATTGTAGCACTAAGCATCCACAGAAACCTATTAATTAGTTTTAAAAATGAACCACTGAACAACTTGTTACCCAAAGTGCATATTTAATATAAAAACCCAGCTTGTATTCAATACTTCATTCCTTCTTATCAAAATACAGTGAAACAATGAGTTTATGCATCATCAGTAGAAGTTTCTTTTAGTAGTGTATATAATGACAAGTTCTGTAAATTCTGTGTGTTGATGAACTTAGTAAACAGCAACCTAGTAGCAAATATATATAAATAAATTCTTGGTTAGCAAGTGGTGTTTAGCAGTTTATGTAATGACAAATTATGTAATTTCTGTGACATTAGTAAACAGCAATATAGTAGCAACTAAAAAATATATATATATATATATATATATAAACTCCAGGTCATGTAATGGATTTTAAGATTTTTTTTTTCTGAAATGTATTTGAATAGCCTAATTCAAATTTAGGTTGGTAAAAGTCTTCATATGTACATGGTTATATATTTGTGTACTAAGTTGTGATATGAATCTCTTATTTTTATTTTGGTCTAGAATATAGCTTTGTTAGGTGAATATGTATTTCTATAATCAGAACTTAAATAAGGTACATGTAGTTAGTCTTCGAGCAGCATCAGTAATTCACAAACAATTGGCCAGTAATTGAGAGAAAGGGGAGAGAACCTATGGGTTAATGTACATTGACAAATATCTAAACTCTGGCCTATGTCTTCTGTCTGAAAGTTGGCTTTCCTTTAGTACTGAGTGTGTTCTACAGTTGATTAGAATGTCTTTTGTATTATTCTTATTATTGTGACTTACTTTGTATTTAACAGTCTCTAGCTAAAATTCAGACTTGACATTCTATAATCATGACCCATATATTTTCTTAGCAGTTAGCCTTTGTAAACGTAAAGAAGTAGTAATTAGCAAAATCTTTGAATTTCTATTCTTGTACATACAAACACTAAGTTGAAATGTTGTCTTATACAGGAGATATGAAACATCTATGTTAGAACAAAACAATAGTTGTTTTCAACAAAGAATCTAATGATATAGTAATAACTGTTTATATTTGCTAATGTATTTACTTTGGTCACTCAGGTAGCAGCTAGATATGAGTTTATGAAATGTATATACTCCACAGGGATGAATTTCATGACATTCCATAGTTCTGATTTATGTTGAAAGTATTAAAGTAAAACTAACTTTAATCTTGAGGGTATTACCTGCCTTTTTAATACAACTTTAGCACAGATGTTATTTTCAATTAACATTTTTTTTACCAGTTTTTAATATGTTTTCTTATTTGAAACCGAACTGTTATTCTGTTCTTTTCCAGAAAGTTATTTAAGAAGGGCTGAACTTGCGCACACATGAAATCTGACAGGTGTTTTCTTAATTTAGATTAAAAACTTTTTGATCTGTAGGTCATGAAATAACTGTTGTTTTCTTTTTTTGTTCTTTTTGAATCTGGTTAAAGGTTTTGACAGTTTGTGATTTTATATTAATTGTTTGTATGTAAGTGATCGAAATATTGGAAGTTTAGCTTCATGTTAATTAAGAAGAAATTACTGTTGCTAGGTGTGCAAAGTTAGACAAAAGTGAGAACAATTATAATATGTATGATGTTGATCTAGGGAAAAGTATTGTTTAAAATGTAATTTTTAGATGAAAGGCTTGTGTTAAAAAGGGACATCTGTATAAGACCCCCATATAACCATTTGTTGATAGTCTTAAAATTTGATGTTATTTTGAATAATGGTAAAACAGGGAGATATACATTAGTTACTTGCATTAATAAATAATATTAAGAAAAAACTATTATCTTAATGGGACGTGTTGAAACTTGTACATTGAAAATTTAATTTTTCTTTATTTCTTTCTTGTATTTATTTATGTGATGAATGTGTGTGCTATGAAGATGCAAAATACAGTTTCAAGTTAACTATATCTACTGGCTAGAAATGACTATAATGCATAGAGAGAAAAATAAGTTTCACAACATAGTGCAAACATTCAGTAAATAAGATTCCAAAGCTCTTCTTCATATCTTTCAGTAAATAAGATTCCAAAGCTCTTCTTCATATCTTTCAAATTACATTTTTTTTCATTCTGTAGTTTTGCGATATTTTGTATATGTAACCCAAAAGAAGGTAGTTTGAGAACTAAAGTAAATCTAGAGTTTTTTGGGTTTTTTTCATTTTAATATGGATGTAAATTTTCATCTCACTTCTTGTAATTTGTATGTTCTGCAGCAAGATCTGAAAGAACAAGAAGTATATATTTATATTGAACATTTAATATTTAATGTATTATAGTATTAAAATAACTGAAAATACCAGGGACTTTGAATGTACATGCACAAGAGCAAAGTCGCATACATAGTGATGATTTATTTAAGAAAGAGAATAACCAGCATGCTTATTCGAAATGAGGATGTTTCATAGTACACATTATCAACATAATTAACAAATAAATTAAAAGTTTGAGGAAGACTTTACAAGAAGTAAGTTGTAGTTGAATTATATAGAATTGTATGTTTATGGTAAACACTATTGTTTAAAATATATGTACAAAGTATGATATGTAAAAAAAGTCAAAGGTTTCATTTAATAGACTTTATGCTATAAAAAGTACCATGTTAGAATTGTGAAAGTACTGTAAAAAAAAAAGGTGGCTTTGTTTTCTCATTATGTGAATTCTGGATTAAATATATCTGTGATTTATTTTAGAGGACATTTTCTAGGGTTATTGATTTTCTATATAGTTAGTAGGTTGGTGTTGCAGTGTAAGGAGCTACAATTTCTAATACAAGTATGAAAATAAGCTTTAAACATATTATTTAGTATTAGTTTTAAAGACAGAAATAGGTATTGAAATAGTGTAACAGAAATATTTGTTAAAGTAAAAACAAAATTTTAAGAGATCAGTGTTGAGCTGTAAACAAGACTTTTTCCTTAAATATAATATATATAATTCCCTTATCAAAATGTAAACCATTTAATAATATGAAACAAAAAAAAAATATAATATTTGTGTAGATGGCAGTAAATTCAATATATTTACTGTAGGTTAACATAGAACTTCTTACTTCTATGTTGTTTATTATACTAAGACTTTATCAGTGCCGAAACCTATTAACATAGAAAATATATAAATCAAAAGAAGTACAAAGTGTTATGGATAATTAGGCAATTCAGCAATACTAATGTCTTTAAATTGGCATGTTACCTGCAAGTTTTTGTGAATTTTCTATGTTACTATGGGTTGTTTAATATTCAAAACTTAGTTACAAAATTTGATAAATAAATGATATTTTAAAGGAGATACTTTGTGTTAATCTCATGTTTTATTTATGCTTCTAAACTCTTTATTTGAAATATAAGTTATTTAATTTTAATGTTTGCTCCTTTGATTATTTCACTGTATGGAAATAAATAGGCAAGATACAATAAAATAAATAAAAATGATATTAATGTGTATGGATTTTTATTTGTGCCATGTATACATGTGTTGATAAAAGATTGTGAATACCTCATAGGCCATCTAAACTTGCAAGTATTGGTTCTGGTGTGGTTTTTCTAGGATTCTGAATAATATTTACATACATAATCGATTGTCACAATACCAAGAGGAACGGGAGTTTGATTGTTAAAACTAACCTACACAAACACTGTTTGGAATATCACATAGCTAAAAGTAATGTAAGACAGTATGAATGAATCTTAAATAATTTGACATACTAACTGAAATAAAACCTAAATTTGAAATAGTTCTGCTGAGAATTAAACTTCATGTAAAGCACAAATAGTCAAAGTGTAATCCTGCTGTTGGGAACAAAAATGCAACATTGTAATGATCTGTCTTGATTCTCTGAAGTCAAGCATCAAAAACAACTTTCAATTGGGATAACTTTTTTATAGCTTGACTAATAACATGAAATCTAGGAGTTATATAATATTCTCATCTCATGATGTTGAAAACAACCTGGGTTGGCATCCGTTACAAAGGTTAAAACTCTAGTGCAAAGTTTAGCATGTGAACATTGACGGATTCCCTGGTTCTGTTCTAGAATATATGGAAAACTTAAATAATTTGTTTTTGAAACTTAACTAGAAGAGGCTAGCTTATGATTGTTGCCTACTGTATGCAGCCTTATGGAATTTTTGGATGGCACTGATTCAACAAGCTTTAATATACGAGGTCTTTGCATACTGTGTTGTTTGTCTCTTACTCTATCTAATTAATGCAGTCAGTATATATTAGTCTTATTCAGGGTTTTCAAGAACACAGCGGTAATATACTGGATTAGTTTCTGAACATCAGAAACATCACAGCAGTTCCCTTTAGTAATGTCTATAAAATTAAAATGTGATTTATAATCACCGAAATAACTGAAACACTGAAAATAATTATCTTGGATACAAGACACCTAATGTGGAATTGCAAAACTTCAAAACTAAGGAACAAAAGAGATTAAGAGTTCTTTGGGAATTATAATTTGCTTTGCATCTATACTCTTTATAATATTAAGTTTAAAAATAATCAACTTTCAACTTTAGAAAGAATAAGAAGAGAAGTTACAACTAAAATATTTAACACACAATTTCAAAAATGTATAATATGCAAATGTTAAAGCAGTATGAGTAATCTTTTTATATTTATGAAAATGAATATATATTCATTCGAGTAAATTTTTCAAAATTGTGTGCAGTTTTTCTGCACCTACTTACAATTTAGCAGTGAACTAAAATTTTAGGTGTAATCTATGTTAAGTTTGATCCAACAAACTTTTTAATCGTGGGTACATGAAGTATAACCCTACAGACTTTTTAATCGTGGCTGTTTGATCCTAGAGGCTAACTATTTAATCATGGCTGTATTAAGTACGATTCTAGAAACTTACTAGTCGTGGATATGGTAAGAATGACCCCATAGACCTCTTAATCATGGCTGTGTTAAGTATGACCTATTGACTTCTTAATTGTGGCTATGTTAAGTAAAATCTTGGAAACTTCTTAATCATGGCTATGTTAAGTACAACACTACAGACTTCTTAATTGTGTTAATGTGAAGTATGGCCCTATATACTTTTTAAACGTAGGCAATGTTAATTATGACCTTGCAGACTTATTAATTATAACTATGATAATTATGACCCTACAGGCTTGTTAATCATGGTTATGTTAAGTATGACTTGATAGACTTCTTAATTGTGGCTATGTTAAATATGATCCTACAGACTTCTTAATCATGGCTAAAAGTCATTGTTGAAACTTTTGTGATCTTGCACACCTTGCTGATTTGGGTGAGCACTCGTAGAATTCAATTTTGGAAGAGGTCATCACTGGACAGGAATGTCGGTTAACTTTCTGCCAATTTGTCAGATTAGAATTATGGTATGGAGTTGTGAGAGATTTGTAGAACATAAAATAGAAATATTATTACTGCAAGATATTAGTCTATTGTGTCCCAGTCTTCACATAAATTAGAGCAACCAGAACACCTGGAAGTGTCCAAAAGCCACGGACTAACTGCTAAAAAAGTGGAAAGAACATTTATCTTTGTAAAACCATAATTTGTTAATAAACTTTTGTTTGTGTTTGTTTACATTTTGTGTTAGTTTCTTTGTTTAAACCGTACCACCAAACATGCTCGCCCTTTCAGCCGTAGGGGCGTTATAAAGTGACGGTCAATCCCACTATTCGTTGGTAAAAGAATAGCCCAAGAGTTGGTGATGACTAGCTACCTTCCCTCTAGTCTAACGCTGCTAAATTAGGGACGGCTAGCGCAGATAGCCCTCGTGTAGCTTTGCGCGAAATTCTAGAAACAAACAAACCTGTTATTTATTGTAATTTACCAGTAGGACATTACTAAACTTCAGTACAACAAATGTATTCACTTACACGTAAAGACTGACTCGATTCATTGGAAAATCAGAGAAATATATCATTGTTAGGTGTGTTCTTGTTGTGTGTGTGTGGTACTATCTTATAACTCTATTAGATGATAGAACTGTAATCAGTACAGAACCACAGTGTCT